CGGACACAGTACAGGAGATGACCAGAGACTGCGAACACAGTACAGGAGATGACCAGAGACTGCAGACATAGTACAGGAGATGACCAGAGACTGCGGACACAGTACAGGAGATGACCAGAGACTGCGGACATAGTACAGGAGATGACCAGAGACTGCAGACATAGTACAGGAGATGACCAGAGACTGCGGACACAGTACAGGAGATGACCAGAGACTGCGGACATAGTACAGGAGATGATCAGAGACTGCGGACATAGTACAGAGATGACCAGAGACTGCAGACAGAGACTGCAGGGGATGACCAGAGACTGCAGACAGTAAAGGAGATGACCAGAGACTGCTGACCTTTGGGGAGGGAGGGGGAGCGAGTACCTGAATTTGACAGGTACCCGCTCCCACTTCCGCGGCATTGTCCTTCTCTCTTCTTCCCGCGCCGGCTTCTGTGACAGCCGGGTGCCCACATGCGCATGTGCGAGAAGCGCTGCGCTTTGTGAATGGCCCGGCGCCTTCTGGACCTGTCATGTGTCCCAGAAGACACCGGACCATTCACAAAAGCGAAGCGCATGCGCAGTGGGCACCCGGCTGTCACAGAAGCCAGAAGACTGTGCAGCGCTGGAGCGAGGAACAGGTAAGGCCCTGCAAGAGAGAACAGCTGAGCGGCCGGCCCGGTATTCTGACACAGAAATACCGGACCGGCCGCTTTATATTCGCTCCATAAGACGCACTGACATTTCCCCCCCCCCCTTTTTGGGGGGAAAAAAGTGCGTCTTATGGAGCGAAAAATACGGTACTTTGGGGAAGTAATCAATAGTTTTTTTTTTTTTACACAATTTGCTTATAGCAAAGAATTACTTTACCTGAATGACATCAATTCATTCTGGGCAGCACAGCAGCTAAATGGTTAGCACTTCCACCTGGCAGTACTCAGGTCGTTGGTTCAAATCCCAACCACGGCACCACCTGCCTGGAGTTTGTATGTTCTCCCTGTGCCTGCGTGGGTTTCCTCCGGGAACTCCGGTTTCCTCCTACACTCCAAAGACATGCTGGGAGGTGAATTGGCTCCTGTGTAAATTGTCCCTAGTATGTGTATGTATGAATGTGAGTTAGGGACCTTAGATTGTATGCCCCTCGGGGGTGGGGACTGATGTGAATGTACAATATATATGTAAAGTGCTGTGTACATTGACAGCGCTATATAAGTACCTGAAATACATTCAGGATTTTTTTTTGTGCTTAGCTGTGATTTGGCCACGGCTAATCACATGACACAGCTGGGCTGTGATTGGCCCAGCTTGTGCATGTGATCGCTGTGACCATTCACAGCTAGACACTAGTATACAATGGATGGCATGAATGAAGCCATCCATTGTATACTACTGTCATGTGACCTGCTGTGATTGGTCACAGCAGGTCACATGGTACTGGAAACGGGGCCAGTACACAGATCTGTCATCGGCCGTGTCCGAGGTACATGGCTGGTGACAGATCTCGCCGGGCGCACTGCGCATGACTGAAAGGACGCCATATGGCGTCCACCCGGAGGGACGAGCTGCTCGCCCGGCCGCCTTTGTGCTATTGGCCGGGCAGGAACTGGTTAACTGCTGAGCAAATAATAAAAAAGACCTTCAGTGGAGAGAAATGACGGGTCTGTCACTGTGATCATCGGTGTAATTTAAATGTTAGAGACAGAATATCAACCAAAAATCCAGAAAAAACACGATACAAATGTTATAAATGGAGCTGCAGTTCATTGAGTAAAATAAGTATCTGATCCCCGAGCAGAACCTGCCTTGGATTACGAAACGCATCGGAGGTTTGTGCAGCTTTTATCTGACTTCACAGTTTTGTAAATTTGTATCTGAACTGTGAGATCAACAGATGGCGCTTCAGATCCAGATTTACCATATGCAGCACAGAAGAGAGGACCTGCTGCAGTTTCACTTTCACTTACAGCCTGTGACTGGACAGTGAAGAAGCAGCAGACTGATGAGCTCATCTCTCTCTCTGTGACTCTTCTCTCTCCTCCTATCAGCATGTCCCTTACTCTGTAATATAACTGAATAACTCCTTATGTTGCTTCTCCTTCACCCTTTCTCCAAACTACAGATCACATGCGGTCCACCTTAGGATAAGATTTGGGTCACAGCAGATGTGCGCCGTCTCCACTGATGTAAGGGGAACTCAGCACAGGGATAGTGGGAACCCCTCATAATGGGCACAGTGGGTGTACAGACCTGGGAACTCAGCACAGGGATGGTGGGAACCCCTCATAATGGGCACAGCGGGCGTACAGACCCTGGAACTCAGCACAGGGATGGTGGCAACCCCTCATAATGGGCACAGCGGGTGTACAGACCTGGAAACTCAGCACAGGGATGGTGGGAACCCCTCATAATGGGCACAGCAGGGCGTACAGACCCGGGAACTCAGTACAGGGATGGTGGGAACCCCTCATAATGGGCACAGCGGGTGTACAGACCCTGGAACTCAGCACAGGGATGGTGGGAACCCCTCATAATGGGCACAGCGGGGGTACAGACCCGGGAACTCAGCACAGGGATGGTGGGAACCCCTCATAATGGGCACAGCGGGTGTACAGGACCGGGAACTCAGCACAGGGTAGAGGTTTGTATATTGAGGACATTTTCATGTTTTCATGTTTCTGCCTCCAAGGATACACACGGCACAATAGGCTGCAGAGCCCTCACCAATACATACAATGTCATTATTTCCATTCAGTTGATGCCGATTCCTGCAGTGGAACAAAGGGGAATTCTCAACACATTTCCCAGATCACAGATCTGCTTCATCAGGAGATATAGGAGGCGTGGCTACAATATTACATCAAAAATCATCAATAACAAGTATGAATTCTGTACAGACAATACACAGTATACATTGTTACCATTCATTCATTGGATCCCTGACCCGGGAACTCATCATGCATCCCTACAGTGGTCCATCAGGGATGTAGATAATACCCCTCCCCCAGTGTAGATGATACCCCTCCCCAAGGTGTAGATAATACTCCTCCCCCCAGGTGTAGATGATACCCCTCCCCAAGGTGTAGATAATACTCCTCCCCCAGGTGTAGATAATACCCCTCCCCCAAGGTGTAGATAACACCCCTCCCCAGGTGTAGATAATACTCCTCCCCCAGGTGTAGATAAATACCCCTCCCCCAGGTGTAGATAATACTCCTCCCCCAGGTGTAGATAACACCCCTCCCCCAGGTGTAGATAATACCCCCTCCCCCAGGTGTAGATAATACTCCTCCCCCAGGTGTAGATAATACCCCTCCCCCAGGTGTAGATAACACTCCTCCCCAGGTGTAAATAATACCCTCCCCCAGGTGTAGATAATACCCCTCCCCCAGGTGTAGATAATACCCTCCCCCAGGTGTAGATAACACCCCTCCCCCATGTGTAGATAATACCCCCCTCCCCCCCTGAGGTGTAGATAATACTCTCCCCCAGGTGTAGATAAACACCCCTCCCCCAGGTGTAGATAATACCCCTCCCCCAGGTGTAGATAATACTCCTCCCGAAGGTGTAGATAACACCCCTCCCCCAGGTGTAGATAACACTCCTCCCCCAGGTGTAGATAACACTCCTCCCCCCAGGTGTAGATAACACCCCTCCCCCAGGTGTAGATAACACCCCTCCCCCCAGGTGTAGATAACACCCCTCCCCCAGGTGTAGATAATACCCCTCCCCCAGGTGTAGATAATACCCCTCCCCCAGGTGTAGATAATACTCCCCCCCAGGTGTAGATAATACTCCCCCCCCCAGGTGTAGATAACACCCCTCCCCCAGGTGTAGGTAACACCCCCCCCCAGGTGTAGATAATACCCTCCCCCAGGTGTAGATAATACCCTCCCCCAGGTGTACATAATACCCCCTCCCCCAGGTGTACATAATACCCCCCCCAGGTGTAGATAATGCCCCTCCCCCAGGTGTAGATAATACCCTCCCCCAGGTGTAGATAACACCCCTCCCCCATGGTGTAGATAGATAATACCCCTCCCCCCCTGAGGTGTAGATAATACTCCTCCCCCAGGTGTAGATAACACCCCTCCCCCAGGTGTAGATAACACCCCTCCCCCAGGTGTAGATAATACCCCTCCCCCAGGTGTAGATAACACTCCTCTCCCAGGTGTAAATAATACCCTCCCCCAGGTGTAGATAATACCCCTCCCCCAGGTGTAGATAACACCCCCCCCCAGGTGTAGATAATACCCCTCCCCCAGGTGTAGATAATACCCCTCCCCCAGGTGTAGATAATACTCCCCCCCAGGTGTAGATAATACTCCCCCCCCAGGTGTAGATAACACCCCTCCCCCAGAGGTGTAGGTAACACCCCCCCAGTGTAGATAATACCCTTCCCCCAGGTGTAGATAATACCCTCCCCCCCGAGGTGTACATAATACCCCTCCCCCAGGTGTACATAATACCCCCCCGAGGTGTAAATAATGCCCCTCCCCCAGGTGTAGATAATACTCCCCCCCAGGTGTAGATAACACCCCCCCCCAGTACAGGCCTGAGTATTATCATAGTAATCACACATGACTCAGGACAGATACAATTCTGGTGATATTGAATTATATATTGTTTTTATTACTTTTACATGTTTCTGGACAGGCCTCCTATGTGATATCAGTGACAGGTACTCTTTATGCAGACATTAGATTGAGGATCCATCCTCGGCTTCCAGTGAGGATTGGGGACACAGAGTCCTCAGTCTGCTCTCCTGTGCTCAGAGCTCTTCCAGATTCATTCAGCCGTAGAGGAAGTCAGTGAAGGGCCCTCGGAAGAGCAGAGTGAGCCCAGGGGCCACCAATATGCTGTGCCAACAAGAGCGGGGGAGACCACGTTCATCAATCAGGATTGTCCAGGCTTTTACATTCCCCCACCGCCTGTCACAGTCTGGGTGTACATTGCTGAGCTGGGACTACCGCTATAAATGGAAATGCACTAAAATGCCGTATAATGCACCTGCATTCAGTCATCATCCTGGTCGGGGCCCTTTTTGCCAGGAGGGTCCTGTAGGCGGGGCTTACAGGCCTGTTCCTCTCCACTCTCCTCTGAGTGCTCGCCCTCCAGTATGTATGTGATGACCTTGGCGTCTGTCTCCGTCATGTCCAGACACCGACACGGAGAAGTGCTGACCACGAACGAGGACCCCCAGGAACTTTCACACAAATTCGTCCCGTTCACGAACATCTGGAGGGGAACAAGGAAGGAAATCGCACAGCTGACTATTACTGAACCGTTACACTCTCTATAAAATATGAAGAAAAGTCTTCATAAATATCTCCGTCCAATATTTGTATATTCGTCCCTTAGGCCGGGTTCACACTGATGCGGTGCGGGGAACGCATGCGAATCCTGCGTGTTGATGCGATGGCGGTCGTGCGATCTGGTACGGGTGTCAATGTTAAATGAATGAGATCCACATCGCAAAATGCAGTGCGATTGGCAGAAATCGCACTGCATTGGTGAGAACATCTGCGCGATGCGATTCAGGTGTGTGATGGGAGTCACTTTGGGTGGGGGGCCATGGAACACAGCTCACTTTGGAGGGGTGGGGAGAGCTCTGTCTCAGCTCCCCATATCCCTATTATGTGTAAGTCACCCTGTGCCTGTTAGGGGTACAGGGTGAAATGTCCTGCAATTGTGTCGATCTGTATAGGTGGGGTGGGGGGTTGTTGATTGTTTAATGCCCTGTGGTTGCATCCCATTGTTCTATTGTGTGTCTTGCTTGGGAGCCAAACTATTATGGGCTGTATGTCTATGTGTATGTGTATTGGCTTGGTGGGGGGTGTTTCTGGCAGCCCTTCCCCCTGATGGGGTTGTCTGCTGGTGTGTCTCTTGTTACTGAATGTATTGCCCCGCCCTGTGTATATATCTTGTATCTGTGTTAAAATAAAGCAGTCTTCCTGTTTTAATACAAGTCTGGTGCTGTCTCCTCTTGTATGGTCAGCGGTGGTGTCCGTGGACCTGTGTTCGGACAGGGAAGCTGGAGTCTAACGGAAATACCCAAGTGCAATCGGGGTCCGGTTCCGTTACAAGGTGCGGGTAAAAAAAGGGCTGTGCACCTTTTTTGGTGTGGATGCAATGCGATTTGAGCATCGCATCCACACCAAAACCTCCCCCTGACCGTTCACCTAAACAATATCTCCAGTAGAGCCACAGAGGAACCTGCTGTGAACGGTGCCATTGTTATGTGTAATCTGAGAGCTGATTGGAGGGAAAAGACACACCCCCTCCTCGCCACACAGTACACTGGAACAGAGCTGAGGCTGTCAATCACAGGCTGTGTGCTGGAGCTCCCTCCCCTGTCACCAGCAGACAGAAATGACACTTAGGGCTCGTTCACACTTGACTTTATTTGTAACTCTTGCCCTATAGCGTTTGCCAGGCGTTAGACAGGCTTTGGGAAGCGTTTTTAACCACTTGCCCTCCTGAGGATTTACCCCCCTTAATGACCACGCCTCTTTTTGCTACTCGGCGCTGCACTAATTTAACTGATAATTGGCGGTCATGCAATGCTGCACCCAAACTAAATTTACGTCCTTTTTTTCACACAAATAGAGCTTTCTTTCGGTGGTATTTGATCACCTGTGCGCTTTTTAATTTTCACGCTATAAACAAAAAAAAAGGCCAAACATTTTGAAGAAAAAACAATATTTTTTACTTTCAGCTATAAAAAATATATAGTAAACTCAAAGTTGGTTATAAATTTTAGGCCAAAATGTATTCTGCTCCATGTTTTTGGTAAAAAAAATCCCAAATAAGTGTATATTGATTGCTTTGTGTGAAGTTATAGCGTCTACAAACTATGGTATAGATACTGCAATTTACGCCATTTTTCTGCTATACAGCGCTGCGCTAGTTTAACGGACAATTGCGCGGTCATGCAATACGGCACATAAATGAAATTTACATCCTTTTTTCCCACAAATTGAGCTTTCTTTCGGTGGGTATTTGATCGCCTGTGCGGTTTTTATTTTTTGTGCTATAAAAAAAAAAAAGGCTGACAATTTGAGGAAAAAAAAACAATATTTTGGACTTTTTGCTATAAAACATGTCCAGTAAAAAAAAATTTAAAAATCAAATTTAGTCATAAATTTCTGCCAAAATGCATTCTGCGACATGTCTCTGCTGAAAAAAAAAAAACCCAATACGTGTAAATTAATTGGTTTACGTGAAAGTTATAGCGTTTACAAATGGCGGGAAGATACTGGGATTTTTAGTTTTTTTTTATACTAATAATGGCGGCGATCAGCGACTTATGGCGGGACTGCGGCGGATATACTGACATTGGGGGGGTACTGACTTGGGGTCTGGAGCTCCCACATCCCTGACACCAATACAGTGATCAGTTGCAAAAAAAAAAAAAACACTGACACTGTACTAATGGCACTGGGGAGGAAGGGTTAACTTTATTATTCAGGGAAAGGGTTATCTGTGTGAGGGGAGTGTCTTACTAGGGGGCGGGGTGGGGGGTGTACTGCAGGGAACACCACTGAGGGAGAGAGAAAACTCTTCTGTCCCGATCAGCATGTCCTGGAGCTGTCAGGGAACTGACAGAAAGCACAGCTACTGCAGCTGTGCTCTCTGTCGCAATTGCCGCTGATCGCCGGGACATAGCTAACGATGTGACCCGGCGACTGACATCCGCGGCTGTGATCGGCGGGACAGGTAGGACGGTTTGCGCACGCCCCTGCCTGTGTTTAAAACGTGCTTTTGCCCAACCGTGCAACCCTGCCGCAGTATTTAACAGTGGCAGGGCGGCATGTTTAACGCTCCCCAAACGCCCTATGCGGGGCGTTTGATAGGCGTTTGCCAAGCATTAAAAACCACAAACGCCTATAATGAAGTTAAATGGTATTAACGCTCCGCACAACCGCATCGCAAACGCCTTGCAAAGGCCTGCCAGGCGTTTGAGGAACGGCACCATAGACTTGAATGGGAGGCTTCAACTCCTCCTGACTCGACATGAGGCGTCCGTTTTGCCGCAACGCGAAGCTAACGCTTCAGTGTGAACAGCGCTGTGTGCTGCCATGTGCAGAATATTCACAGGCGTTTGAAAAAAAGTAAAAACACTTTCCCAAACGCCTGTCTGACGCCTGCAGACAAAACTAGTGTGAACGTAGCCTTAGTGCTCTGGACTGAGACAAGTACACACTATAGAGGGATGTGCTTTGTTCAGATGTCATGTCTGAGGTTTTACAGCCGCTTTAAGCATGTCAGCGCTCTGTGTGGTCTGATTGAGCCGACAAAATTCGTTTTCAAAAACGATACAATATACCAGCCCAGAGTAAAAATGTTTACAGATGATAGCAGGCAAAACATTACTTCCCAAGATACATTTCATAAAATAATTTTTTTTTTATAATTATCTCTTTAATTTTTTATTATTTTATATAAGTTTTTTTCTTTATATTGTTTTATATTGTTTTTGTATGGGGGGGGGGGCCTTCTGTGCAACGGGCCCAGGGCAGCTGCCCCTTCTGCTCCTTTATAAATCTGGCACTATGTTGGGAGCCTTCGACCATCTTCATTGGCCAGGGTGTCAGTACTCACGCCCAGGGGTGTATTTACCACAAGGCAAACAAGGCAGTTGCCTAGGGCGGCATTTTTTCAGGGGGGCAGCACTGCCCCTGGAAGAAAGGACACTTGCGGCATGGGGACCAGGTGGGAGCCGAGAAAGGCTTTATCGTGTATGCAGAGCCCGACTTTCGTTCCCAGGGATGTCCAGAGCTGTAAAGGTGAGTGACTTTCTCTACGGGTGGGGGGGGGGGTGGGGGTGTTGTTGGTCAAAATGTCAGGTGGGGGGGGGGGGGGGGGTGTCCGTCCGATTTTTGTGTTGCCTAGGGCAGCACAAAACCTAAATACACCACTGCTCACGCCCAATCGAGGATCAGTGTACATTTAGGGGAAGAAGAGCTTTCATTGCAGAAGAGTCATCTATAGTCATACGGAGTCATACGGAGTCATACGGAGTCATACAGAGTCATACGGAGTCATACGGAGTCGTACAGTTCGTAGTCATACATAATACGGAGTCTTACGGAGTCATACAGAGTCGTTACGAGTATACGGAGTCATAATACGGAGTTGTACGGAGTCATACAGAGTCATACAGAGTCGTACAGAGTCGTACGGATACAGTCATACGGAGTCGTACGGAGTCGTACGGAGTCGGAGTCATATGGAGTCGTCATGGAGTCATCCAACCTGTTACCAAGCAATGTTTGGCAAAGTAACACTATAGTTCCACTATACCAAGTATAAAGTCGTACTGTCGTACAGAGTGTCATACGGAGTCATACAGAGTCATTCCCATACGCGAGTCATACGGAGTCGTACCTGGGTACAGAGTCATACAGAGTCATACAGAGTCATACGGAGTCATACAGAGTCGTACAGAAAATACGATGTCATACGGAGTCTACAGAGTCATACGGTTTTAGTCATACGGAGTCATACGGAGTCATACAGAGTCATACGGCAGCGCTGAGGCCACCTACAGCGTACAGAGACGTACACGTGGTACGTGAGGAAGTGACCCGGCATACACAGAGGTACAGAGTAAGAATAAACACCAAGTCGACAGCATACGTATTACACTCTAAACGTAGTCGTACAGAGTGCGTCGTAGCGTCGGAGTCGTGTCAGAGTCGTACGTATAGTCGTACGTACGTACAGAGTCGTACGGAGTCGTACAGAGTGTACGTAGTCTACAGAGTCGTACGTAGTCGTACGGAGTCGTACGGAGTCGTACGGAGTCTGGAGTCGTACGGACTTGTCGTACGGAGTCGTTACGGAGTCGTACAGAGTCATTACAGAGTCATACAGAGTCATACCACAGAGTCGCACAGAGTCGTACAGAGTCATAATCCGGAGTTGTACGGAGTCATACAGAGTCATACAGAGTCCAGAGTCATACTCTCGTACATCATACGAAGTCCAGAGTCATACGATCGTATCCGAAGTCGTCAGAGTCTCTGTAGTCGTACATCGTACAGAGTCGTATAGTCGTACCCGTACAGAGTCGTACTCCGGAGTCGTACGGAGTCCGTACGGAGTCGTACCATGAGTTTCATATCGCACAGAGTCGTCCATCTCCATCATCATCCCATACAGAGTCGTACAGAGTATACAGAGTCATCGTCCTCTTACCGTACATGAGTCTTTACAGAGTCATAATACGGAGT